TAATTTTCGCTGAGGTTGTAAAGATTTATTATACTGTAAGAAACACTTTTATCGTTCAATAATACTTATTAAAAGAGGTTATAAGTTATAACGTTACTAACTGAAAGAGGTTATAACGTTAGTTCTATAAGAGTTCTATATTAACTGTATGTTTTTATTTATTAAAACAGATAAATGATATCGTGCATTAAGAGTTACATAAGGCCCATATTGTCCAGCACTACGTTTGTTTTTGATTTTGAGAGAATATTTTATACCACCATGGTGAAGTATTTAAATCAGCAGGAAAGTATCAACATTGACAAGGATTTATTTGAAAAGTATAAATTCAGCGTAGATCAATTAATGGAGCTTGCTGGACAGAGTTGTGCGTTTGCCATTGCTCACAATTATACGTCATTAAAAAATTCTAAGGAGAAAATTCTTGTCTGTTGTGGACCAGGAAATAATGGTGGCGATGGACTTGTCTGTGCTAGACATTTAAAACAATTTGGATATAGTCCAGAGGTCTATTATCCTAAAAAAACAGATAATACGCTGTATCAGAATTTGTTGTTTCAGTGCACTGAGAATGATATTCCATTGATGGAGAGCAATTTAGAAGATTTTGCTCGAACAAGGTTGTCTGAATTTGGCCTTATAGTAGATGCTTTGTTCGGATTCAGTTTTAAACCACCTGTAAGAGAATTGTTTATTCCAATTGTCCATCTGATGATAAATACAACTCTACCCATCTGTAGTATAGATATACCATCAGGTTGGGACGTTGAAAATGGACCACCCACAAGTGGTGGAATAAAACCAGAAATGCTGGTTTCGTTGACAGCACCAAAGATGTGTGCTACAAAATTTCAAGGAAAATATCATTATTTAGGTGGACGATTTGTACCCAAAAAGTTAGAAAAAAAATACGATCTTAATTTACCAGAGTACCAGGGAACCGATTTAATTGTTCCTTTGCATTTACTAAAATAAATACAACTATCGTATCATTTTGTAAGCAATACTTTTATATTTGCTTGTAATATAAAATATAAAATATATGAAATATATGTATACGTTACGTAATGAAAAAGTGAATAACACGATTCAAATTTCCCCCCTTGATGTCTCTATGTATCTAGATGGCGCTTAGTACTTAACAACTGTATGTTACTTGCATACACTAGTTATTCTACGCTTGTCATTTATATGTACACACAATATTCATACACACATGCGTATGAAGGTAATGAAATATTGTGTATGTTTAATGAATGTTTAGTAGGCAGTAGGATCCAACTAACGATTTGTTACTACTAAATTCATAAGATACTCTAATTACGAACGTTCTAGTTAATTATTACGTTACGTCAGATACAAACTATTAACTTCGTAAAATGGTACGTTAGCAACGAATTTTGTACAGCATTCTTAAACTATATCGAACTAATACATAATGTTTGTTTCAGGCACAAGAGGTGGAGGAAACTATGAAACGTATTCAATCGCATAAAGGAGTCGTGGGAACGATTGTCGTCAATGCAGAAGGTATGTATAATCTCGTGTCAACAATTTATACTATTTAACTTTTGGGTAGCATTTAATGTGATTCTAATATTCAGGTATACCAATCAAGTCTACATTGGATAATACTACAACAGTTCAATACGCAGGTTTAATAAGCCAACTATCAGACAAAGCACGATCCGTAGTAAGGGATCTAGATCCAACTAATGACCTGACATTCCTGCGTATTCGTAGTAAGAAACATGAAATTATGGTTGCACCGGATAAAGAATTTATACTTATAGTCATACAAAATCCAGTAGATTGACATCTAAGAAAAGAGCTATCAAATACCAAAATATATGTTTCGCTACGCGTTGATAAATTATTTTATACAGCACATTCCATTTTAATTTGAACTATTTGCATTGCTATCTAAGCAAAAACAATACCTTATTTTTACTTTTGAAATGGCCTTAAAGAATGTGCTCTATGCGTGTTATTGACTAATCAAATTCATCTATCTACCGTACATTAATTGAAGAAAGAGGTTCTTATCAAATAATTACATTTATAGTAGCTTCAAATTTTTATTTAATACAGACAGTACATTATACAAAGTTTATCTATTATATAATTAACACTTTGTCTNTATCTAAGCAAAAACAATACCTTATTTTTACTTTTGAAATGGCCTTAAAGAATGTGCTCTATGCGTGTTATTGACTAATCAAATTCATCTATCTACCGTACATTAATTGAAGAAAGAGGTTCTTATCAAATAATTACATTTATAGTAGCTTCAAATTTTTATTTAATACAGACAGTACATTATACAAAGTTTATCTATTATATAATTAACACTTTGTCT